GGGTCCTGGTACTCTGTAGGGATTTATATTGATAGTCCACCTGACGGAGTAGTTAAGTGATCTTGTGTTCATGCGTGTCATCAGTTATCATACTTCTAGGTTTTGACAAATTGGCTACTGTGTGACTGTGGAACTCTGTAGGATGTTTTTCATTCGTCGGAAGGTGTTTTGTAGGTATTTGGATTTGATTTCGGCTATTATATATTCCCCATGTTCATCTCTCTGTGCAATGTATTAGTGATACATTCTATGTTGTATCTGAGTAGTTTATGGCTGTGCTACCCCCTTGTTGGTCTGGCTACAGTTATGTATGGTGTGCTAACCAGGACAGTGCGCATGAGACATCTGTACGTCAGGCTGTAGGCAGGTTTCATGCATTAGTGTAATGATGGAGTATATTGGCATGTAAGGAATTTAGTTAATGCTATGAGGTAAATCGTAATGCTTGCTTATGATCTGATATTGTAGTTAAAGATCGTTATGTTGTTGTTGGGCATCGAGAAGTGCCTCTTTGATTGTTCTGTAGTGTGAGTAATTACAGCTAAATGTTTTGATTCATTTTAAGTCATTAAATAGAGTTGGTTCAGGACAATGCTTGAAATCATAAGATTTGTAGTGAATCTATAGTTAGAAATTAAGTAATAAAACAAAGTAATTGTCTTAAGCTAAAATATAGCACTTCTGAGTTAATTTAACAATAAGTAAAAATAATGAGCTGAAGGTTAGCTTTCTTTTTTTCCTTTTTTAAGCTAAACTAAAGGGCGACAATATAAAAGGGACTAGTACAAATAAAATGATGATCAAATAAAAGGAGCTTGGGAATTTTGATAGTAGGTAGTCTATAAAAAAATGGAGCTTTGGAATATATTGGCAAAATTAGTGTACTTGTTCTACTTTAGCACCTGAGCAAGTAGACAACCTTGATTACTTTTAACAAATTGTGAATGTATAAACTAGCGGTAGTTTAAAAGCTAAAAAAAGGAGAAAATATATAAGGGACTAAAATTAAGTAATAGTAAACAAAGTTTAAATGGACTAGATGGTCATATGAAATAATTATGGTTTAGGAGTAGATCTGATTTGTAATATTCAGATAAATTGAGCAGTTTATTGCACAATAAAAGGTAAAAAAAATGAGGTAGTTGGTTACTAGTAGCAAAAGTTAGTTTTGGTACTTTCAAAAAAGTAATTGGAATATACACTCATTGCATACACAATGAAAAGTGACTAAAAACAAGTAGTGATAAACAAAATTAAAAGGACAGGTAAAGAAAAATGAATATTATTAATTTGGAGGTAAGATTTGACTTGTAATTTAATATTATGAGCAACTAATTAGCAGTAGAAGTAGTATAGAGTATTGGAGGTAGTTTGCATAGCTAGTGAATGAAAAATAATTAAAAATAATAAGTACAATATATAGTACCGTACACTTATGCACCACACGTATATATGTCATTAAGGGCACTATCTAATATGTTACAGAAATGTCAGTTTTTCTAATTCCCCCCTGCTCGAGAAATCATGTACGTTTGAAGATGGTATATTGTTTTTCCTGTTGATGTTTTCCTTACTAGTATTTTCCATCTCGTGTTGAAACACTGATGTTTTTTGTTTTCTGTTTTGACGTTTTTTTGTAAGACACTCATTTATGTTCACTCCATTTTTCTTGTAAATGCTGATTTAATTAGGTCCTTTCTTTTTATCGTATGAATGAAGTCTGATCATTATACTGTGTTTACTTCCTGTTTTTCCTAGCAACGTGTTTCTTTGATTTAATTGTTTTGCACGATGACTTGTAGTGGTTTTTCTGTATTTCATGCAGCAGTTTCCTTTGCCTGTGCTTGTGTTATATCCTAGGAATGTGTGGATGTTTTATTATAACTGCATCAGATACTTATCTTGTTCAGTTTTGTCGTACTTGGAAACTCAGGGGTATCATTTAGTCGAGTGTGCATGTTTGATTCAGTCCTTGATTGCTCTTCAACCGTCATATTTATTGTTGTTATTTGCTCAGTGGTGGACTGGCTATAGCTGCTTTTAGAGTATTTTCTTGTGTCAACACTTCCCGATTTGTAATCTCTCTTTAAGGTTTTGGATCTTATTATCGAGGTTGGTTATCCTTGGAATCTCGTTCGCTCGAGTGCTGCTTTGATATCTTTGATTTCATTTTTCTAGAGCAAACGCTGTAGTCCTTGATTTGTCAGGAATAATCATACCTGAGTTATCATGGTTGAATCCTTTGAAGGGAGTGGGAGTTGGAGGGGGAGTTCACCATGTTTTGTTGTTGTTGTTGTTGTTCCCTGGGTCCTCGGCGGCGGTGAGGGGGTTGATGATACACTGGCGTCATGCTGGGTAGACATGTTGAGTTCTAGGGTCCGTGCTGTTATTGTCTTTTATTACTGTGTTGTTTCTTCTGCGATATCCTCTTTCAGAGGTATCACTGATAGTAGATACTTTACCCCCGTGTAGCAATGAGGAGAAGGCTTGTTGTCTCGGGCAGCTGGGGTTAAGTGGTTGTTGGCGCGGAGCGCAGTGTTTGGGTTAGCAGGGCTGTCTTCTTAGATCCCCTTTAATTTTGTCAAATTTTGGGTTACATTCTTAGATATTCTTGGGTCTGTTGTGGTCTACGGTGGGGTCATGTAGTTGAAACTATCACTTAGGCCATCCAAGTTTTGGATGGGGATGATTTTTTGAGAAGAAGGTGGTAGGAGTGGATACGTTGCTGCGCTGCCGCTGCCGTGCTTAAGATTCAATAGTGTTCTATTGGATTACCAACGGTAGGCTACTAAACTAAGAGAAATTAAAATTCTAATAAATTTTATTAAGTCTCAGAGGTACATTATCAAAGTAAATTTAAATTTAAATTAATTCAGCAGTATCAAAATAATATCACTTCTCTCGAGTACAATATTACTGTGCTGAAGGCAATTCAAAATTTATAATCTTAAGTACCGTCTGAGTACATTAAACCATTTAATAAGAATACAAAATATGTACAAGTGTGTATGTATGTGTGTAAGTGCTCAAGTAGTTCGTATGTCTCACGGACTCGCCTAGACTTAAACAGTGACTGCATAGTCTCAAATGATAACTCAGAACGTCTTTGACCGATGGCAACCAGAAACGAGTCTGCTTGAACAATAAAAAGAAATGTTTAGCCAAATGCAGTATAACAAGAAACTAACACACAGAATCAGGACAAGGGATATTATATTGAAACTAAGTAGGGGACCATCTGCCAGATCCTCCACATAAAAGTCACTCAAAACTCCCATCATACTGAATCTAAGTAGACAGATAAGAAAATCTCTCGACTGTGATAATACACAGAAGATAACCAGTACAAGTTAGGTCAGAAGCTACAGCTCAGGACCTGAGTTGCTCAGGTTCACTAAGGCGACACACAACCCTCAGTACAACGGTCGAAAATCGCTTAAGTATATACAATTTCTGTGAAACAGAGTTCTACAGAACTAACAAAGCTACAGAGCGATCTCCAACAAGGGCCATAAGGGAGTTTAGGATCTTGTCAGGGATACGTCCAACCACCTAGCGAGTCTGATCAGACTGAATACTTCAGGCGAGGTGATGACCCCCCCCCTCTCGATCACGTGGATTAGCTCCGTGGACAGGCTGTCGTTCAGCAACCAGAAGCCGGCAGAGAACAGCAAGAGCGATATATTACAGTAGTTAGACAATCAAGACTTGAAATGAGCACATACCTTAACACATAACTAAGTCAAATAATAACATAAAGTACATGTATATTTACGATTTAGCTATTATCGCAAATATGAGCAATATAAAATTATATGAAAGATAAAAATTTATATATATACATATTAATCATTGCAACCCATTCAGGGGTTGCAACACATTTCTCCCATTTCAATACCACTCGCTCTTGTTTATGTATAAATTATGAATAAATCAATAAGACTGTATTAATAAGTAAATCCTTTGATTGATGGGGCAAACTACATGACTAAACGAAATCATAACAAACAAAATTTGCAAACGAACTATTAAATTAAGGGGGATCTGAACCCTGGCCGGGTGAGTGGTAAAAACTCCGGGCCCGGTTGTGTAACCACTGGGCCAGCTGGCCACTTGGAGATTCATTCAACTAAGTATATTTCTATACACCATGGGTAAGTTAGCTTTGAGCCCCACATTGACCACTGGCTAAGTGTCTCACACACTGGCCTGGAGTTTTAGGACTCACTAGCCATGGGGTCAAACCTACTTATTCTGTGGTTTGGTCAACTACAATCTTTGGTATTACAGTTTTCTTTTTTTGACATTGTTTTGTGTATGTTTTTACTGAGCGGTTGTGAGACATGCTTGCCTCTACTTCCAAACCAATGATTGTAATTATGATCATAATTTTTAAAGGGGTGGACCAGTATGCCAGCAGAAGGCCTCAGTCAGATGCCAAAAGTTCCAACAGGCGGGTCATCATATGACTAAAACTCACTTCAGGAAAACACTTGTCCTGTTTCCAGGCAAACCTAACCTAACCCAAGACACACATCTAACAGTGGCTGAGTAAGGTTATGCTAGGGTTTTTTTAAGTTGGGCTGAGTGGGTTTCATATGGTTATGTTACATTTTATGGATTTGTATAACAAAATAATAGAGAATAAAAAGGCACAATAATATCTCAGCCATAAAACAAGCTTAAAATTGCACAAGTCAAACTGTAATAATACAGTAGCCAAAATTCACTGAGTATCAGGCCAAGTTTTTAACCTATATTTACTCCTGTGTTACATTCATCACCTATCATTCTGTAACTTTAACACTAGTAGCTGTTGTATTATACAATTCAATATTTCTAGATTCAGTATCTTGACAACAAGTTTATATTTCAGAAACAACTTCAGTAAAGAAGATTGAAACCCTGTGAACCCTTATTGGAGAGCTGTGTTAATCTCTTGCAGATAATGAGAGGTGGAGACACTCCACATCCTTCTTGCAGATAATGAGAGGTGGAGACACTCCACATCCTTCTTGCAGATAATGAGAGGTGGAGACACTCCACATCCTTCTTGCAGATAATGAGAGGTGGAGACACTCCACATCCTTCTTGCAGATAATGAGAGGTGGAGACACTCCACATCCTTCTCATGTATAATGAAGCAGTACTACTGTAATGCTCTGACTGATGAGCAGTATTGCTGCCAGCAGGAAGAGCTGGCACATCTGGCCAACACTTGTGCTACATACTTGGAGTCCAGCAGAAAGTAAGCAGTTGCTCTGAATAATACAGACACACTTCATTAATATGGTGCTCGCTTTACAACGCCTTGCTAATACACTTCTTTTCAATTATATTTGTTTATTATTTTTCAGTGCTTGCCTTGCTATTTATAACATTATCAACTAGTTGTTGCTGTTTCCTTTAATCTGCTTCTTTGTGTAGATCAATAAACATGTTTTCATATATGTTTTAAAGTCTACATTTTTTTTTTTAATTTTTTCATTGCATTTCAGTGTGTTTCACTTCCACTAACTTGGGATTGTTGTTTTCATGTCTAGTTTGTTTTACCTGACATCTCTTAGACTGGTTAATTTGTTTCAGTGGTGAGTCAGTGTGTCTGAGATAGTTTGTTGGCATGTGATGATTTTACTTAGCTCATCAGTTGTGCTAGTCAAGAAGGTTTTAAGTGTAGTCATTGTAGGCTTCACACAGTCATTGTAGGTTTCATGCAGTCATTGTAGGCTTCATGCAGTCATTGTAGGCTTCACAGTCATTGTAGGCTTCATGCAGTCACTGTAGGCTTCACACAGTCATTGTAGGCTTCATGCAGTCATTGTAGGCTTCATGCAGTCATTGTAGACTTCATGCAGTCATTGTAGGCTTCTTGCAGTCATTGTAGGCTTCACACAGTCATTGTAGGATCCATGCAGTCACTGTAGGCTTCATGCAGTCATTGTAGGCTTTGTGCAGTCATTGTAGGCTTCATGCAGTCATTGTAGGCTACATGCAGTCATTGTAGGCTTCATGCAGTCATTGTAGACTTAAAGCCTTAAATCTCCACTCTCTGGAGAGGCGTAGAATGAGAGGAGATATCATTGAAGTGTATAAGTGGATGACGGGCATAAACAAGGGAGATATTAATAAAGTACTGAGGGTGTTGAACCAGGTAAGAACCAGAAATAATGGATTTAAGTTGGATAAATTTAGATTTAGAAAGGACATAGGTAAGTACTGGTTTTCTAACAGAGTTGTAGACGCATGGAACAGTCTTCCCAGTGGGGTGATAGAGGCTAGGACCTTGGGTTGCTTTAAGAAGAGACTCGACAAATATATGAGTGGGAGGGGCTGGGTTTGATTGGTGTCATTGGGCACGGGAGTTATTTCTTGGGTACCTTAACCCTTTGACTGTTTCCGATGTATAAATACGTCTTACGAGCCAATGTTTCTGATGTATTTATACGCACAAATTCTAGCGGCTTCAAATCAAGCGCCAAAGGCCTGGTAGGCCTACACGAGAGAGAATGGGTCTCAGTGGTCGGTGTGCACCCTGTGAAAAAAATCTGGGACCCAGCGATGCATTGTGGGAACGCCATGTTGTTAGTCCATTTTCACCATGCCTCTCGGTAAGAAGTTCCTCACTCCTCGGCGGATTGGAGGTCTTTTGTTCCCAAGTGATAGCTCTAACAGCGATGAAAATGTCAGTGACAGTGAATTCCAGGGTTTTGAAGTGAGTGTTACTGAAAAAAGTGCCCAGGATAACATAATTAGTGATGAAAACCCAGATGACCCACAACCTTCCACCTCTGGTGCTGTGCCGGCTTGTTCACATTCACGTTCGCCTGTACCAGGCCGAAAAAGGAAACTATTTGTTCGTGTACAACACCCAGATGATAGCAGTGATAGTGATAGTGATAGTGATTTCAAGATCATTGAAAGCAGTTCTAGTGACAGTGAGAGTGAATATTCCCCAGTGAAGCGGCAGTATGTACGACGTAGCATGCGGTCTGGTAGTGTTTCATATGTTGTTCCAAGGGGAAGGAGAAACTCTGGGAGCACATCCCGTGGCCCTACACTACGACCTGATAGTGAAGATGACGATAGTGTAACGATGGGTATGAATGGTGACAGTGAGGGAGGAGGCAGTGGTGGCGATAGCGAGGGTGGCACGGCCCATGTGGCACCATCAGCAGGCCACGCTACTACCCACGCTGCTGACGCAGCACAACAACCAGCCTCACCCTACACCACACTCCCACAACCTGCACCACCCCAACCTGCACACAACCACAACCACGGTACAATATCCAGACCCCACCAGCAGACCGCATCTGGGATTGGCAGGACGGTGACGAGTTTGTTCCCAGTCCCCATGACTTTGATGAAACACAAAGTGGAATAAAGCCATCTTGTCCACTTGGGAACAATGCCAGTGAACTGGACTGCTTTGAGTTATTCTTCGATGAACCCCTGATGGACATCATTGTCAGGGAAACAAACACATACTGTGATTACACCATGGCAAATACATTTCTCTCACCAAAATCACGGCTACACAAGTGGAAGGAGACAACTGTGGCAGAGATGTACTTGTTTTTTGCCACAATAATGCTTATGCCACATGTGTATAAGCACACTGTCACCACATACTGGGCAACAGAACGCCTGATTTCAACTCCAGGTTTTAGTGACATTATAGGTGTCAATCGTTTCCTGATACTGTTACGTATGTTACACTTTTCAGACAAAACCAGGCCTGACAGAAGCGACAGGTTATATAAGATCAGAAATGTGTTTATGTACATGAAACAAAAGTGCTGCATGTATTTTTATCCCTTCAGGAAGCTTGTTATTGATGAGTCCTTGATTTTATTCAAAGGAAGACTCTCATTCAAGCAATATATACCAAGCAAGGAGGAAACGCTTTGGTATAAAGCTATTTGTACTGTGTGATTGCAGAAGTGGTCTAGTTTTGGATATAATTGTGTACACTGGCAGTAATACTTTGAGAGATACCATGAAGTTATTGGGTATCTCTGGTGATGTGGTTCGAACAAGATGGAACCATATCTTGGTAAGGGGCATTGTTATTTACTGATAAAATGGTACACAAGGAGAAGTTAGGAGTGGGGAAGCAATGTAAAAAGAGAGCAATGAGAGACGGGGAGGTTTTTCAAAATTTTTTTAAAATTTGGGGGGGGGAAAAAATTTTTGGGGGAAAACCCCCCCCTTTTTTTTTAAAAAATTTTTTAAAATTTAAACCCCCAAAATTGGGGGGAAAATTTTGGGGAGGTCCTTTTTTTTTAAAACCCCGGGGGGAAAAATTTTTAAAAAAAAAGGGGGGTTTGGGGGAAAGGGTTTAAAGGGGGGGGGTTTTTTATTTTTTCCCGGGGGGGGGGGAAAAGGGGGGGTTTTTTTTTTTTTTGGGGAAAAAATTTTGTTTTTTTTTTAAAAAAGGGTTTTTTTTTTTTTTTTGGGGTTTTTTTTAAAAAAAAAAAAACCCCGGGGAAAAAACCGGTTTTTTAATTGTTCCCCGGGGGGTTTTTTTTGGGTTTAAAAAAAAAAACCCGGAAAAGGGTTTTTAAATGATGGGGGGTTTTTTTTTCCCCCCCGGGGGGGGGGGGTTTTTTAAAAAAAAAAAAAAAACCCCCCCTTTTTTTTTTGGGGGAATTAAAGACGTGGGGGTGCGTGGTAGTCGAAAAATTATGCCAAGGTTCAAAGCTGGCATCACAGAGGTGAGGTTTTCAAGCCTTTTTGCCAATGACATCTGGCATTTCGGTGGGGATGACAAACGTTATGTCACCCTTGTTACTTTGTTCACAGAAACGAAAAGGGGAACCCCGTGGGAGGGACAACAGAGGGGGACCAATTTAACCCTTTTTAAAGCCTGCAGCTGTCATGGACACAAAACCCCAATATGCGCTTAGTGGAAAAAATGTGAAAATGAGATTGGGGTTTTTAGACTGTGGACGCAAGGTTATTTAAATGGTATATAAAATTTTTTTCCCTCTTTTGTATCTCTATGCTAAAAGCTTATAACATACACAGTTGAAGGGCCCAAAAAAACACCAAAAATTTTGGTGAATTTTGGGCCTTTTCGTTAAACAGGGCAAAAAATTGCAAAATACCCAAGGAGCAAACCCCGAAAAGGCCAGGCCCCCACCGTCATCTCGTTTTTTGGGCCCGGTGATCACTACCCATACAACGGGCCCTTTTCTCTGCCAAAAAAAATGCTAAAAAGAGGTGTTATGTATGTAGCATCCACAAAAAGCCCCAAAAACGCGTGCACTGTTTTATGTGTGAGGGGTGTGGGAAAGGGGCCCCTTGCATATACCCCTGTTTTAAGGGGTTCACAAGCTGGGAGCAGTTCTAGGAAGTGTTTAGTGGGTGTATTTATTTTATTTATATTATGGAACAAATTGTTAAAAAAATTGTTTTGTATTGTTTGTTTGTGTAAAAAAAAAGGGTATACCAAAAATAAAAGTGATAAGTTTGTTCTGTTATTGGGGTTGTAAAAAAATGAGTGTTTTTTGAAGGGAATTTCACCTTAATTGGTTCTCACAGGCCAAATAAGTTACCCGGGAAAAGAAAAAATTTTAAAAATTTCAAGAACCTTTGAACAGGTAAATAAATATTTCCAGGTGGGCGGCGGTCGCCCCTGTTGCCGTTCGAAGCCTTTCTGCAAAATTTTCGGTTTTATCTCCCGGGAAGTATGATGGCAAAAATTTTTTTTAGGCTTAAAACAATACTAAAAATATTCCCCATTTTCAATTTAGGGAAAAAATTTAATTTTTTTTTTTTTTCGAATATTTGGCGAATAGAATGCCCGTTTAAATAGGGCCATGAAACAGTCAAAGGGTTAAGGGGGGGGTCATTTTTTAAGGACCTGCCTCACATTTGGGGAGTAGGGCCCTTTTGCAGTGTTCCCCCATTTTTTTTGTTCTTATGTTTATGAGGGCAGACCCAAAAAACACCAGCAATCCCACCATTTTTGTTAAAAAAATTTTTGGCTTTAATTTTTCACTCATTTTGGGAGGATGGGTTGTTCCCCCCTGGGCGGGTTTCTGTTTACCAACTACTTCCCGATTACTTTGAACCATCCCCTCTAAATGAACCCAAAAAACCCCAACCACCCTCTTTGCCCCCTGACTAATTTCTTTTTTTTAACTCCCCACCCTTTTCCCAATTTCCACCTTCAAATTTTCTGCATAATATTTACACCAAAACATTGCCCTTAGACAGGACATCTCCACTGCCTCCACCCGT